CGGTACTGACAGGAACAACAGAAGAAGTAGTGCCGACTGGGGGCAACCTCACACCAGAGGTTACCTAAGCCGACTACGGTCGACTTAACCGGCGGAGAAGTCGACAGTGCAGTCTTGACGGCCCCACCAGCGTTCATCAACGATGGCGATTCTGAAGAACAGGGGGCGACAGGTGATTCTGCAACTGGGACCAATGCGGCAGAATCTCTGCCGATGGTTCATTTGTGGACGAAGTGGGAGGTGACGCTGAAACTGGGTCCACGTGGGCAGTGACCTTTGACGAGGGTGCAGATGATGCAAAAACATGAGCTGGAGCAGGACCCTCATAAGATGAGTCGTATCCAGGTGAGGAAATCGCTACGAGCACACAGATTAGATGGTTACAAGGTACGAACACAAGAGTAGTCAAAGTTTACAGGACTGGCGTGGTAAAGACCTGATCTTTCTCGAATTGATGAAAGGTCAAACAAGTGCAAGGGGAGTCTGTGGTGAAGCGAGTTTTCTGGAATGATGGGCTAAAGGGTCGATGGGCCGGATGGACATGGAAACTCGCGGCCGGAATAGGGACCGGAGACCTGGGGTCACAGGAAAGGAGCAGCCGTTGTATCCAACCGTGACTAGCACTTGAGATTACCGCTAACGGGGTCATACCGAACGACGGTGTCAGCTAAATGATACTGATATGGATCGCTCTCAGCCACTCGTCGGTCGGCCTGGTCGCTCAAGGTGGGCCTCGTTCACCCATAGGGCAACTTGGTCCCTTAAGATCTAGTGGCTCCTGGCTACTCAGCATAGAGAACCCAGGTGCGAGACAAAGATAGAGTAAAGGAGTGTAAAGTATAGAAAAAATTTCAAATACTACTCAATTTGCAATCTAAGCAGCACGACGTGTCATGCGCTTAGAAACTTGTAAGTCTACCGACCTATTCCGGACCAGGTATCTTTTTGACCCACCCGTCAAATAGACAGTTGTCAGTAAGACCCAATTGTACGTAGAAACCCAGAAAGAATATTGGCGTGTGGGTTCGTGGAGTAGCACCCCCCCCAACTCAAGCCTGCCGTAAGAAGCGGGTTTTAATCTTGGTGGTAAGGGAGAAGAAACGTAAAGGCCAGGAGGTTAACACCCCTCAGACAAGAAGAGGACAGGCGTTAACAGCATCTGAAACAACTGGTTATAAGACCACTCTCGACCTAGTCGATCGAGTGGTCGCCTAAACTGGACCCCGACTAAAGCATTTACGCTTGCCCTCCCCCCCCAGGTCGACCTCCATCAAGGCCAACGTATTCATCATCACCAAGTCCTACGAAGAGTGAAACCCTCCAAGCCGACGGGTACACAAGGTGATTCAAGGTCCACAAGCGGCATTGGGGCACCCCCTCCGACAGTCGGCAGTCCGGCACAGTGAGTGGCTTAAGGTCTCGTCAGACGTTTTGACTGCTCACTCCTATACAATGTCCGCGACCGTGAGCGGCAACTTTTTTTCCACTTAAAGTCCACGAGCAAGTTGACGCCGACTAAACACGTTGCGGAAAGGGGATGGACACTATTATCTTTTCTTGAGGCCTTGATCTCAGCAGCGAATAGGATTTATCTACGCAGAGGTGCGCTAGAGAAGTCAATATATTCACTTTGGAAGGAGCAGGTTAGATACTCGTAATCTTAATTGCAGGTGATAGGCAGGGATTAATACTCGGCGTACAGTGCCGAGGCTAATATTATTATAGTCTCTATGGTACGCAAACTCAGGCCAGCGTCTTGAAGACCTGCTACCTTTCGCCACTCGTCGCCAGTAAGTATTGACTAAGTGTCGCCATTCCCGTCGATAAATGCCGCTTAGATCGTGTCGCCGAACGGCATGTGCTGTAATATCAATCCAATGAACAATTAGAACGTTACATTACAACTAATTATTTGATACTGTTTTGTACAATTTTATTGTCGCGCTGGCAAAAATATTATAAATGAATGTGAGCCCTTACACTTTGCATAAATGCAATCGGCTAACACACAAAGGGTGTTTGGTTCAATACAAAAGACTCCATATCCCTATAGGACCCTCCTTATCTTTAGACTGTCTGAGAGGCGGACAGCAGTATGGGTGTTCGACAATACCGAGCGCAGAGTGTATCCGCAAAAAAACTCAAAATAAACGTTAATCATTATTTAGTATCCTTCAATTTTCAACCTTAGTATATTATATGTATATAATGTTAAGTTTTTGTCGGTGATACGTTCGGTTATCGGTCTTTTTGTTAAGATCAGTTCTTTTCTTTTCGTTAATTATAAATCCTGGAATGTTAGAAATTGGTTAAATTTGTGTGTTGAAGTTACCACCTTTGCAAATCATTAACCACTTAGCAGTAGTGCTAAGAGTGCATTTATTTGGTTTTGCCCTCACTTTAGTTACCAACTACTCCATCGGCTGTTCAACAGACTATGTTTGAAAAACTTCGTATAATGCAAAATTCCTGAAATAACTTGAAATTAAATAAAATTATTATCGAGGGGGGGGTGCATGTGCTAATTATCACAATAAATATGCAGTATCAGTACGATGAGCTCAAAACTCTGTAGCTAAAATATAGCAGGCAAGTGTTGTTTTCTAATTCAGTGGCCAGATCCAGAACCATTTAAGATAATTAACTTTTGAATGTAAGCGCTCCATGCATGTTTATTGCAAAATTAGTGGATTTTAAAAGTACGAACGTTTACACAGATAAGCAATTTGCAACTTTACGTATGGTGGATGTCGCAGAAAAATTATTACGTCTTTGTAAACGTACCTAATCATTTTACCTGCGTCTCAGTGTAATTTTTGCAAACTAAATGTGAAGAGGAAAAAAGATTTTCTTGGCTAGATAGACCACTGAAGACCATCTTCTGCTCGCCTTTCTAATCGGCAAAAAGTGTTGAAGTGGAAGGGCATTGAATACTTCGAGTCGCCTTTTATTACTTAAATCAATCTTTACTTCGAGTCGCCTTTCATTACTTAAATCAATCTTTTTTTTCAGGACACCTTGTTCACGTCACGGTTTCACTCCATCTGTATGCTTATGCTGATAAGTGCACAATAGATAGTCACTGCACATTTCAGCCAATAGGCCACTTTTTAGCTGCTGACTGTTATATATCACAACTGCTGAATTTGGTTTTTTTGAATAAGGGAGCACGCTTTAATTATTATTCCTGACAACGATAAAAAAGTTGCTGCTCTTTATTTGATGCTTAGTTTTGTTTTCTTGGAGGACCAATCAACCTGAAAAATAGAGGCAACCCTCATGAATCCAACCGACTAATCGAATTGCTTTGCTTCGAGAATATACTTACTTACTACAAAAGAAGGGAGTACATGTAATCATAAGGGAGTGGATTTAACCATTTACTGTAAATTTGGTTTGATTGATAAATGTGTTGTTTAACTGTTTCATCTTGTAGTACGCTATTTTATTCTTCTCCGTAATTAGTACTTATTTTGCGATAAATTTCGAGCAAATTGAATTTCTAAAGGAGGATTGCTATAACACCATTTTGCGCCAACATTGAAGTGCTTTTTCAATTGCTGCATACGAATGATGAAAAACTATCTTGTACTGACGAACCCGTGGGCCAAGTTTGATCACTCGACTGTAGCGACTTTGATCCACATGGGTGGAAGTTTTGGTGAAATTTGCGCTTCGGTCCCTTCAACAGGATCTTCATCGATCTCGACTCCGGACGTGATCACGGCCAACAAAGACGCCCCATCTTCTGATCAAGTTTTGGGCACACCACACATTTGCACACAACTCCGCTGGTCATCGACATTCCAGGCTAGAGACTAGCACCTATGTTTAGCTGTGCTGCAGCAGCGGTCGCAAAATCGTTGATTTGATGTGATCGACAAGTAATAGCAAGCCCCAGTCATTTCATTAACCCGATGGAGACCACAAAGGTACTCTCAGTCGAAACAGCGCGATCCATTGCACTTGGTCAGTGTGTCAAATGTTGCGCAGTGCCTACCAATTTATAATGTGGACACTGCACAGAAAACAAAAAGCTTGCACTTGCAGCTACTCCATTGCAAGTCACATCTGTACCTAAACACCTCATCTGGATGATGCTAGTATCAGGACCATCGCGGAAAACAAACAAAGCAAGCTGGGTCCAGACGCAAAAACAAAGACCAGCTCGAACAGATTGCGACTGCTCCATCGCGTGTTGCTATCCGGGTATCGCATCTTAAACACAATGCACCCAACGCGCCGTCTCTGAATCATTAAGACACCGTTGAGCATCGTAAAAGACGAGGAGATAGATGTTCATACGACTGTCCTGTTTCGTACGCCATTATTGCATCGTACTGCAGCACACATACCTACGACAACGCAGCGACTCATCTAGGGGTGTATCCTTTTTGTCTACGAACAAGCGCGTTGAACAAAGCTGCCCGATTCTAGTTCCCTTTCCTGATCGTTGTCTCATCTGTAAGAGACAACGATCAGATAGAGAAAGCCAAAACAAGAGCTGGGCTAGAAGATCAATTCCGTGACTGGGGACGCCTCGACTTGATCGACGACTTTTGTGCTAGTATTGCGTCGATGATACGGGTGAATAGAGTAAACCAAAATCATGCTGTATCAGACCTACGACTCTAACTCCGTCCAACAAGAGCGAATATCTCTGTTTCAGTCGTCACATCGTCCGTTACGACTCGTGACGAGTCTCTTCTTATTCCGCGGGAAACGGCTACACCTAAAGCAAATCCAGGGGGATCCTTCGTACCGCAGACATCCTATTGCACATAACTGGAGCAGTTTCGCAATCCAACAACATGCGGGACAAGAAATCGTCCCGTTGTAGCCATCGTGCGGAGCACGTCAGTCCACTGAACTGATACGATAGCCGTGCAGTTGTTGCAAAAAGATTCTTCATTCGCCATTACCAAGTCTCACACGATAGACACGAGTCACCATCCAAAAAAAGAAAACGTATTCACATCACCTGACTACGCTTCCTTGACATGGAAAAACTTAGCGCTGGACACCTGACTGTCCACGATGTATCGGATACCAAGGTCTCACGCTGGGGCTGGTCCCGCGTGACGTTTCAATCGTCCGACCTTGACTCCATGCCGTGGCTTGGATGGTTGTTTGTCTACACTTTCGCCCTCTTTTTCTTCACCATCAGTCGATGGCTCGCGCTAACAGCTCTGCTCGATATGTATGGAAGCCAGAGTGACAACACCGTGATCATCAGGGCTTTGGTGCTGAGTCTCGGGTTTCTGGAAGACGTTGTCTGTGCCACCTATTTTGCAACTGCACTGTGGCTCTTCGATACTGTCCGACGTTTGTTGACCAAGCACCCTTGGACAGCTCCAGTAATGGCAAGCAGACGTGCTGGAGTCATGACAACATTCGTGGTCTCGTGGCTATTGTGTTTCGTCGCCATAGCTCCACCTGTCGCGGATCTGATGCTTGTCGTGTGTCGCCATATGAGGTTCTCGTTTGGCTTGTCGGCGACTTTACTTCGAGAGAGAGACCATCTCAAAGCTGCTCCGATTTCTACTCGGGAAGTCTACGCAGCGTACGGGACTGCAGCATTTCTCATCCTTGTTGCTACCTTGTTTGCACTTGTGCGTGCGCTGAGTAGCTGGGCTGATCTAAGTATGTGGAGTCCAACGCATGTCGTGCGAGGCCCTGTGTGTTTCTTGGATTTGAAAGTCAATGCGAACACTTCAGCAGGGAAACATGCTGGAGGCGTGAAGTATGAAGCAGTGGCGTTGGAGGAAGGAAGTACTAGTAGATCTCCTATTTCTGATATCATCAACGCGGGATCGTCATTGAGTGACAGAAGCTTGCCTCGAAGGCCGAAGTACCACCGCGTGATGCAAGCGTCTTCCGTATTTGTGGGGCTTGTGGTCCTACCATCGATGGTGATGGCGCTTTGTACTTCGTGCTCTCCTCTGGTAGCTTACGCAGCTATTAACGCGACACTGAACGAGATGTTTGGTCACGCGTTCCATCCTTCTCTTAAATATGTGGAGCCTGCAAACGTCGATGGCAAGCCATCATGGGCCGAGAAATACGTCGACGCCTCAGAGTTGCATGAGTTTTTTGGAAATAGCACGCTGTACCGACGCACATCAGGCTTTCACGGTGACCTCGCGTTCAACGTCAGTGTCGACCCCGCCGATCCGCCGAATGTGCTGATCATTGGAGTCGAGTCGTTTCGATTTCGTGATTCGCGCTATCTTGTGGGAGATCAGGACCCATCGGATTTGTTCAGAGGAACAAACATGACGATAACTCCGAACTTTGACAAATGGGCAAGACGCGGTGTTGCTCTACGCAATGTATGGTCGAGTTGTCCCACAAGTCGTTCTTTGGAAAGCATACTGTTTGCCCAAGTTCCTTATCAAAGCAATGTGATGACTGGTATTACTGGAGGAAAGAGTACCACAAAGCTTTCGGGTGTGCCGCAGCTTTTTGCCGAGAAAGGATACGAGACATACTTCACCACGGGATCTTCTATCACCCTGGACGACTGGAACTCGTTTCTTCCGAACCACGGCTTTGGCACTGTGTGGGAAAAAACAAAAATGAAAGCGTTGGCGGAAGAAACGCTCGGTATTCGTCCTGATGACTGGGACGGTGTAGAAGAGCGAGGATTGAACTGGGGTGTGCACGACGACCTCAGTTTTCGACTTCTTGGAGATTTGCTCGTTCAGAAGCATAGAGAGCAGAGAGACAGGTTAGATCGAGGAGAGCGAAAGCAGCCTTTGTTTTTGACACACTACACTATTTCGAGTCACGAACCGTACATGTCGTGGCCAAAATGGTATGAAGATGTCGACAAGCCTGATTTCACCCCGATGTACGAAGGAGAGAAGCACACTGAGCGCATCGATAGGTACATGAAAGTGAGGTACTTTACCGATATGGAATTAGGAAAGTTCATGGACCGCATGGAGATGGAAGGTGTACTCAATGACACTATTGTTGTCATCGTAGGGGACCATGGTCAGGCACCTGAGAGTGACTATAGCAATTCGATTGAGGAATCGATGACGCGTGTGCCAGCTGCTATCATTGCTGAAGGTCGACTTGGTGATGATGTGGGGACTGTGATCGAAGATGCTGCAGAGCATTATGACATTCTCAACACGCTTGCCGATATCACAGGATTGCCAGAAGGAGGACTGGAGCAAAATGGCGTCGGGCGTTCCCTCAAGCGCAAAATTCCATTTGGTGAACGTGTGGTATACAGCAACGACCCTTTGCGTAAAATGGCGATAGTACGTGGTCATCAGCGCCTCCGCTATGATGAAGTCAGCGAGATGATGATGCTGCATGACACAGAAAATGACTACTACATGACTACGGATTTGCTGCCCGGACTGACTTCTGAGGAGTTGGCTGAGTGGAAGGCTTTGCGAAATGAAGGTCGTCACATTACTGCTTACTTCAAAAAGCGCTGGGACGAGGACTGTTTGCTTGCTGTCGATTGCGACTCATGATGATGTATCAATGCCTGCATGTTGAGGAAAACTGATAGCTGCAACTAAAGATTTGGAAGCACAACTTACCACATCGAAATTAAAGTGGCTTAGCTTAGAGGAGTAAGACGATAGACAAATATAAAAAATCACGTCATTGTCATTTAACGAAAAATTTACATCATCGTCGTAGCACTTAAAATAATTGCACCAGCTCCAGCACGTGTGCACCGCAACGGCCGCAGAAATACTATAAGTACGGATAATTTCCTGACACGAGCCCAGACAGCACTGTGCGCAATGCTTGGTGTGGAACTACGGCTGACCGAAAGTCTACCACCATAGCTATATGGGAACACCAAGACCAGACTCTGTGCCATTCGCGAACGTTTCGCAGGGACTGCAATCGATTAACGCATTTGCTTTTATCGGGACTAGATGTGCCGGTCACATGTGGAAAATGTGCATGGAATCCAGCGTCCCCGCTATTCACCAACCTGGTAGCTCAAAAAGAGAAAAATCTTCATTGTAGTTAGAGACCGGTGACGATGCAATTTACGCAGCTTACCAGTGTTGGTTTGAATTTTTTAGTGTGGCTACGTCTAGCAAACATAGAGCATTACGTAACAAGCTGACCAGCTGCATGCAATTTTAATTTAGCTTCGGTAGGCAAGTCTTGCCCCTGCGTGCAGTATAGAGGATCTATTTTATATTTCGTCCTAGTAGCTGAACATCTGACGCATACTCGTGTATTAGGCAGCTATCTATAAGCCAATTTCGATAGCCATCAACAGTATCGAGCAGAGTAGTAATCTGTAGATAAGAACGAGCGAGCTTTACGCTCGAAATGATCTTAAAATAGATTTCAGCGATGTTGAGTGTACGATGATGAGAGGTACGAAATCTAAAAAATCATGGGTGCCAATCATGGGACAACTTGCAAAGCACGACAAGATCATTACTTTCATAGCAAATGAAGACGCTGCACGTGTTTGTGCAATAAAAGGAAAGAAGGAACACCGCCAATCATGTTTTGTGCGATACAGAGACCCGGAACAAACAAATCGTACAACGCAAAAAAGGGTTACAACTGTTCATTAGAATTCGCTAAGCGATATGTAAACGCGCAAAGTATGTGAACCCGAGTGGTGGTGATAAACTTAAACGACAAGGGCCCGCAATTTTTGCAATCAACAATTCCATGAGTGTCGTAAAGCAGGACAAAGAGCCAATCTGCAGTGCTCAATATCATTGAACCTTGTAACTTTGAATTAAGCGGATAAGACCTGTCCTGATAAGCTGATGTTTATACCGATGGTCTGAAAGTTGCGAATACGCCTAGAATCGGTGCCTTAAAAATGTGTGACACAATGGTCCACTCGGTATTTCTGTTGTAAACGAAAAAGTAGCAGACAGCAAGAAAGAACAAGCCTGCAAGCAGACTTCAAAGACAAATTCTTGCACGAAATTCGGCCGCTACGACACAAGATGTCAGATAGGGACTGTCGACCAGCTATGCGGATAATGGAAAACTACGTTGGTGGTTTAATAAGCTCTAACACGTTCCTGCGGACAAGAAAAATAAACATTGGTAGAACCCAAGGACGATGTAAATTTCGCGGGATGGCCAGAAATTTTTTTTATGCAGTATGCATGCCTTAAGTTGAAGAATGCGGAGTAGTTCGGCCTGTTCTGCCATAATGCCTGCCTAGCGGTCAAGTTGAAGTATCAAAAATGGGGAGACAGCATGAATTGACGATATGCTGGCACTAAATTTGGAGATTTTTCGCAGCAGCCTCCAATGATGTTAAGGACCTACATATGCTTTACACTTTTTATCATGCACGAGGAGAGAATTTACTAGAATGTGGATGCAAGGTTGGCCACGAGAACAGAATGATGGTCTCGAAGAAGAGATCCACCAGCAAGAAAGCACGACGAGTTCTGATTAGAATCATGTGCTTCCATTTGGATATAGTAACACGTGCTTCCATCGCAAATAATCGTGATATCGTCCATTTCTACTGCAATCATCTCAAATGTCGCATTAACGGTGATGGCTGGACGGATACCTGGCAAGCACTCAGCTTAGAATAGCTATTTTCAGTTGCAACACGAAGTCTAAGCTACTAGATCGACAAAAGCGTCGATCAAAATATCGCATTTTAGTCTGGTATTCCTTCTTCACCAGAGCCTTCATTTCACCTTCCCAGGCGGTCTACTTTATTGACTCGCGTGCGAGTTCTAACTTAATTCACTCATGTGTGCACTGACGCATGAGTTTTTTCTAGCTGAGTTAGGGATCGTAATGTAGCAAGAAGAAATCAGAATATTAGAAAAGGGGCAATACAATAGATTATTCGCAAATTAGGCGAGACTATCTCGGCCCGCGTCTCTCCTCTGTTGATAGAGCTGACGCTGGATGTTTGAGATTAATTGTGCGGTGGAAGACATCCGGAAACTCTGTGACTCTTAGAAGTTCAAGTATAGTCAGCACCAAACGAGTGTATTCGGTATGATCATGTCGGTGTGGCACCCGAATGGATATGGTGAAATTCTTTACCCTACCTGAAGATACAGCGACAATTTTAGCCTTTCAGAGATGCGCAACGAAGATTGACCTATTACACTACAGGCCGGCAGTAAATATATCATAGAGAACAGTTAAAAGGTTCTGCTCCTCAGCTATAGTATCATCCGTGAACAAGAGGACCACTCTAGAAGCCCCCTCTCTAAAAACGGCAGTAAGAAGAAACAACCAGTAGTGCGTTTACAGCTTAAAGTGTAACACGATGTTATTAAAACCTGTTATTTTGTGGGTCCATACCAAATAAAAATTGGTGGATCTGAGTGGTACAGCCTTGGTACCACGTACTTACGGTAATGCCGCACCTTATCGGGTAAGGATAAGGAAGCATACTTCTGTCATAGGATCGCAATGTAGAAGTCAGTCAGACAAGTTTTAATATTTCATTACCGTAGTTCAAGAATAAAATGAAGTTCAGTTACCCTTTTGAATCTTTGAACACTAGTGCCTAGTCAAGGCGTCGTGCGTTGTAAGAGTGTTAGCCTTGTGAAGGCGCTTACTCTTGTTTTAACTAGTAGTGCCTACTTAGTGTGTGAATCTGTGAATCGTAATCCCTTTGGAACCAGGATTGTTAAGCTTGTACGCTAGAGCGACTATAAGTCGTCATTAGTTTTACTATAACTAATAGACTTTTTGAGTCGAGGCCTTCTTTTATTAAGGAGCGCTAAGTACCTCCGCTACGCGCCTAGTGTTCAAAATGAATTTTTATTTTCTACGCGGTCATTCTCGTGACCGTCCTGTTCAGATAGGCTGTCCACAGCATTCCAGTTTGAGCCTGAGAGAAATTATTTATACCACATTTGTGATTTCGCGCCACGATGACAGAAAAAAGCAGACGATACTAAAACCGTGTCTTAATTCACAACACAGATGGCGGGCGTAGGAAATTCTCTCGCATCATATGAAGTGGCTTTCGAAACTCAGCGAACAAAGGACGCGTGCGGGGACTCACGCAAGCTCCTTTTGATATTTCTTGGCCTACGTGCTCGATCTATAGTAAATTATGCTCACTGTATGCATTTGTAACTTGTACCAGCGCTGCACCCGGAAAATAAGGCTGAGTGCGATGGTAGTGAGGCCTTGACTGTAACGGGGTAGCCCGTTACATGAAATTGACACCAAGCGGTGTCAATAGGAATATTGTCCGGCATGACAACACTCCACCGATATTATCCAGGATGGATAATATTGAAGGAAAATTATCCCCTTTTGGATATTATTCATGTGCTGCTCCAAAATTGGTTGATATAAGACATATCAACCAAGGATTGCCACCGATCCTAGCTAGACGCGCGCAATGAGTGTTGAGCAGGTTGTCGTCATACGACAATGCAGATTATTATAGTTAGATAAAGACAGAGGTTATATTTATAGCTTAACTATGTTAAATACAGATCTCTTTTTACCTGTACTTCACCGAGTCGTTCAAGTACTTAGCTTCCTCTGCACGTACTAGTGTACATGAAAATTTGCGGCACCCAGACAAAGGGTGCCCCGTTACATTGACTGTATAACTGGCACATTACTTTGAAGCGTTACTAGTAGTGATTACTTTATGCCATGACACAGCACAAATGAAAAGTGTAGAAAAGAATCGCGCTGTATTCTAATTGAACGAGCATGTGGTAGGAAAGTCAGGGATCTCGATAATCCTGCAATCTTAAATTTGAAGCAATTTGTTCGATTTACTAAATTGGCAACCATTGGAAGCAGGATATCTATGGCAATCCACTTAACAGGTACATATTTGAATGCATTCTGCCATGTCAGAAATGTAATCAACACATTCACCTCACACGGCAGCACGTGTTTATATTTAACATTTGGATGCTTACTGCTGTACCCTTAAGACACTTGCGATTTTTAAATAGTGGTCAGTTGACGACTGTAATTGCAATCTTTGCATCTGACGAAATTAGCGAAGGCAAAACTTGTTTGTATATGCGCAGTTTGTTTACTCACCGATATTGAAATCGGGCTCATGCAAATATGATCATTGGAACCAGACTGCATCTCGATGTGTACAGTATATCCCGAATTTAGCTACAACAGGGTGCTGATGGAATCCACTGCCATATTATCGGGCAAAAGGCCAGAATTATAGAGCTCGTCTAAGACCGGGTGACAGTAACTAACACAACAGGGCGTGACGGCGGTTGTATTTATGGCTCATCCATACCGTCATCGGCTTATTCAAGTATGCCTGCGCCCCTGAACATGGCAAGAAATTGCAAGGTTATTACGATATGCATCACATTCCGTAAATGACTGCTGCGCCTATAATTGCAGATTCGGCTTACCATCTTTGACATGAAGGCGTACATAGGCTTAAGGAAATGCGCAGAGCACTTCACGCCCTGTATCAGTCACGATCACACCATTTAAGCTAATCAAGGTGTAAGTGTGCCATATGCTTTTGTGTGGCGACCACAAC